CCCGACGCGCCGCCGCCGGTCCCTCCCAAATCCGAAGCTGTGAGTGGAAGGCAGGGCGCTGAGCTCTGTCTCTCTATCTTCCTGGGAGGGGCCAGCCGGGGGCTCCGTTTGGGCCAGAAAAGCAAATAGTCCTGGGTGTCCAACCCTTGGAGTGTGTGACCGAGGGGGGCCCACGTGCGGGGGAAGGGGAGGGGAAAAGGGAGAAACGTCCTGAGAGCGTTTGCGGCGCGGGGACCGCGGCGCTAGGAGTTGTGGGGCAAAGATGCCAGCAGGTCTCTAGCCACAGAAAACTCGTGATGAGCCGAGAACAGTGTTACCCAGAAGGTTCCGCAGAACAGTCTTCTAAGTTGTCCAGTGGAAAGAAGTCCCATGGTGAAATAAGTTTAGAAGTGTGTGTAGGACTTGCAGCCTTCCGCTCCTCCCCGGAGTTACAGAGCACGGGTATATTAAAGGCTCTGGGAAGACTTGCACTAAGGAAACCTGTTTCTATCTGTATTGATAGATTTTTCCAGCAGAATTTTCCAGCTGTGCTTGTCCACAGGATACGGACAGCTCCTATTAGCATCCCACGGAGTCCACTTTGAGTATTTGGCGTATAAGGAAGGGATCCAGATGGCAGATACTTTAATTTTGCACCCACCTGGCCCATGCCTTTTCTCTCTTTTTTGAGGAGGGAATGTCTACTTTCATGATTGTTTTAAAATTGACTTTTCTGTATTCTTTTTATTACATTCACGATAGATTTCCAAGGCAGTAGGAGACTGTATGTGTTGTGGGCTTTTGAGGAGTGAAACAGGTTGGAGAGACCAGAAGGGGTGGGGTAGGGAGGTGGCTGGTTGAGGAGGTGGGTGGGTGTAGGCAAGGCAGCCTCTTGGCAACAGGGCAAAGTGTCAGTCTCTGAGTTCTTTGGAGAGGAGTGTCTGCTGCCTGGAGACAGAGGTGGAGTCATGGCCCTCTGTTTGCAGGTGAAGGAGGAGTGCCGCCTTCTCAACGCCCCACCCGTGCCTCCCCGGGGTGGCAGTGGCAGTGGCCGGCTCTCTGGCAGCCCCCCAGTGCCTCCACGCTTCCCCAAGCTGCAGCCGGTCCCCTCGCCCAGCTCCAGCCTCTCCTACTACTCCTCTGGCCTCCAGGACGGGTGAGCCCCTTCCCTCTCTTGGTCCTGGGTTCTATGATGGATGGAGGCAGGGGAGAGCAGGAAGGGAGTCACTGCTGAGGAAGAGGAAGACTTCAGGTTGGGGGTTCAAAGGGTGCAAGTCCCTGAGCAGTACTGAGGGAGAGGGCACTGGGACTGGGGCCTGGGGCCCAGGCACTTGCTCTTCACTGTCCTGCCTCAGTTTACCCCTTTCTTAAATGTGAGGACTGGATGGGAACACTGTTCTGGCTCCTTCCAGACTGGGACTCTGCCACAGGATGAAGTATTCCTTGCTATTTAAAGTTTTTTATGTACTTCAGTTTCATTTACTTTTTCCTGGGGCTGGAGATGCCTGAAGAAAGAATGGAGCAATTGCAGAGGTCGCAGGCCTTGAGGGCTGGGGTACGGGCCAGTGTGGCTGAGATTCGAGTGGCAGCCTCTGTGACCCCGCAGAGCGGTGGATTGCAGTGTCATGTGTGTGACCCTGTCACATTTCCCTCTTGCTCTGTCTTACCTTTCCATATGTGTCTGTCTCTCTGTCCACAGGACGGGTTCCCGCAGCGGCAGTGGCTCCCCGTCACCGGATGCCTACTCCCTCTATTGCTACCCATGCACCTGGGGAGACTGCAAAGTGGGCGAGTCCTCTGGCCGCCCACCGCCGGGACCCCTGCCCTCCACCACGCAGCCCAGCCAGGCCTCGCGGGCCCTCGCAGAGCCCCTGAGCAGTCGAACTGCCTCCCTCTTGGGGGCTGACACCCCTGTCAAGACCTACCACAGCTGCCCGCCACTTCTCAAGCCCTCTCACCCCCAGAAACGCTTTGCTCCGTTTGGAGCTCTCAACCCTTTTTCCGGGCCTGCGTACCCTGCCGGCCCTTCAGTGGCCTCTTCTTCTGGGCCGACAACCACCTCGGGTGCCCTGGCTACCTCCAGCCCTGCGTTTCCCCCAGGCCCAGGCTCGTCAGGCCAGGCCTTTTCAGCTGCTCCCACCTCCTGCCCCACCGCCTCCTCCTCTCCCTCTGAGTGGCAGGAATCAGCCCTGGAGCCCTTTGATCCCTTTGAGCTGGGGCAGGGTGGTTCTCCAGAGCCAGAGCTGCTGTGCTGTAAGGAGTCCAGAGCTGTGGGAGTACCTGGGCCTGGACCCTGCCTTTCACCACTTGGACCCCCCAAGGCCTTTGAGTCTGAAGGTTTAGTGCTGCGGCAGGTCCCCACCCCACTGTCACCAGCGGCCCTGAAGGGGCCCAAGGCAGGTGGAGCACGCCTCCTTCTCACCCAAGGGCGCCTAGAAGGGCCTCCTGCTAGTCCCCGGGATGGCACCACAGGCTGGGGAGGCCGGGACGTCTCCTGGCAGCCCCCCGCTGACCTGTCCGCACTCTCCCTGGAGGAGGTCTCTCGCAGTCTGCGTTTCATAGGGCTCTCAGAGGACGTGGTGAGCTTCTTTGCCCGAGAACGTATCGATGGCAGCATCTTTGTGCAGCTCAGTGAGGACATCCTGGCAGACGACTTCCACCTCACCAAGCTTCAAGTCAAGAAGATCATGCAGTTCATCAAAGGCTGGCGGCCCAAGATCTGACCTTGCCGGCTTGTAGCTGCACCAGGGGAACGCTGGCCCAGAGGCCCTGAGGCCAGCCATGGTCTGCAGGGGGACAGCACTCCCAGAGGCAGGCCCTGCCTGTGAGGATGCTAGGTAGCCACTCTGTGAACCAGGGGAGACATACTTGGAAATGGGGTCCTCTGGGACCAGACGCCTGCAATGGGACTGCTTGCCTTTGAGTGGGCAGAGTACGTGAGGAGAGGAGCAGAGGCCCCAGTGTGCACCTGGATCTGGTGAGACATTTGCTGTGATTCCATGGTGGGGTCAAAAGCTAGTCTTCATGGTGACCAACACTCACACCCTGCTAGAGCTTCACAGAAAACTCATACTTCTCCAGTTTTAGGTTCAGATTAGAGACCAGGGAAGAAGATGGTCCATAATTTAAGCAAAAATTCCCCAAGTGCCCTCTCTCCTCTGTGCTCTGGGGGCTTTTAGCCTAAGCTGCCCCAGGGTTGGGGTGCCAGTTTCAGGACCTCCGTGATGCCCTTCCCTTCCCCCTGTTACATCACGAGCAGGTCCCTGGCCCTGAGCACAAGTGTATCAAGTATAAGCTGTGCTGCTGCACCTCAGAGGCTCCACCTGTGGGTCCTGGTTCGCGGGCGATGACTTTAGAAGGGCACAGCCCTGCTGTTCATGTATCTAGTTAGGGAGGCAGATGCTTCCCTGATGCCCTGGGTTCTCCCCTGCGCTCGATGCAACTGGCCCTCCATCCTGCTGGTTGGGCCCTGTCTGTGAAGACTCTGACTCCATGGAAGAGCCCAAGATGTGACGTTGCCAGGTTGAGTGGGTCGGCTGCTCCAAGATTCTAGAGGCAAGTGGCTGCAGTCACTCCCACTTGCACCGACTCCTGCCCCCATCACTTGACTCTGGCAGACACCTGGTGTCCTTCCCTGGTTTCTTGTCCCTGGTGCACGGGAGGGAGAAAGCACACTGGCTTGGGAAAACCTGCCCTTTCCCTCCTGGAGCTCAGTCTTCCTGCACTTGCTCACATGCTTCAGGCCAGGTGTTTGTGTCCTTGATCTCAAGCATGGTGGTCAATGGCACCCAGAGAAGTTGTCCGTTGTGTACAACTACCCATCCTCCCTCCCCCCCCAGGACCACCTAATTCTCATGCTCACTAGTGCCAGGCCCAGAGGTACCAGCCTTCTCTTCTGCCTTACCTAGCCAACCTAGATATTTATTTCCTCTATCTGTCTTAAGATTAGCAAAGCCATGCTGGCGCTTGTACCCTAAGCAGTGCCTCAGCTCTGAGGGAAGAGGGGGTCAGGAAACAGCACAGAAACTGATGCGGAGACATTCAGTTTCCTTGCCCATTGCTTAGTGAATCCCCAAGGACTAGTGAAATAAACGCTAGACCACTGAGGAACAGTGCAAGCGGAACTCTGGCTGTCAGCTGCCTTCTTGTGGAGGAACAGTGCGCACGCCTTCAGCAGGAGAGGACTCTGGAATGTTATGTGTGTGCAGCCCATTCACATTCTCCAGAAACAGCTGGTAGTGCCGCCCAGATTCCCTGCTGAAAGCCCCTCGCCAGCCCCTGCCCTGTGAGAACCTTTCACTTCCCCCTACTGAACTGTTTCAATGGATTCATACCTGCCTAGTGCTGTTCAGTGGAAAGACCAGACTTCAAAGCTCCGTGCCACCCGCCAGGGCCCAAGTTCAGCTTCCTGCACTGGCTGACCTCGTCTTGAGGTGCTCAGAACACCACTTTTAGAAGCTGTTAATGGCCGTGATGTGAGGATCAGTTCAGTTCTCTTCCTTCTATTCATTATCTGAAAATCCCAAACTCAGAGACCGCCTGGTTTTAGAGCCTGGCTTCCTAGTAACTCAGTGGTAGAGCCAGAGTTCCTTGTGGGCCAGTCCCAACAGCAGAACTGGATCAGGCAATATTTGAAGTACTTGTGCACTCAGCCTGGCAGGAGGAATTGGTAACTTCTCAAAGTTGAGAAGGCACAGTGATGGGATTTGATTACGGTTCCGCACACACTCAGTGTGGATCCTCCTGCCAGACTGAGTTAAGAGCCCCAATGCTGTTTACCCAGACTAGGCCCTGCTTCTGCCAGAACACGAGTGTAGGAACTTTCCACACCGCAGGGCAGGGCTAGGGGAGGAGAGGCGGTCTAGCAGGGGGAGGGGGCGGCGGGCTCACTCGGCATCCCTTGTGCTGCTCACACCTGCTGCCTCTGATCATCGTCAGGCATTTCCCATGCTCTGGGGCAGATGAGCTGTGTGGGGCATACTGACCAGGAAAACGTGATCTCTGATTAATTCCAACCTGCCCACAAACATCCAATGTGTCACACCAAGGGAAAAGCTGGGTAAAACTGCAACAAGGAGACGCAGTTTAGGGAAAGAAGTGTGTTTCCATCTTGGTCCTTCATGCCAGGCCACTCCCCCACTGTACGCAGAAGCCCACCCAAAGCATTTAAATACAGTCACGTTTAAAAGGCTTTAGTCTCATGAAGTCCCACCTTCTAGCATCATAGTCTCTCCCTTCAGGTGCTGCTTAGAACTCTCAACACATTCTTATCCCCAAAGCACAGGCTTTCTTCCAGCTCACTCCTTGAAGGAGGGGTGTAAACCACACGGCAAAGACAGAAGAAAAAGGAAAAAGCAGGCAGAGAGGCTGATAAATACGTTTGGTTTTTATTGTTATCCTGTTTGGCTGACTGCATAATTGCGCTCACCACCACTGGCCACCACTGGCCTCCTGGGAGGAACGCTGCCACTTTGGGTCTTGGGGCTTATAGATTCACGAGCACAGTGGGTCCTGCTTTCCAACAGGAAGTGCAAACACAGCCAGACTTCACCCGGAGGAGAGACAGTCTCAGCTGAAGGCACTTTAATCAAGGCACACACCCAATGCCAGAGTTTGTTTTCCTTCTGGTTACTGATAAATCTAGGCGCCTCTGTTGGAGAGCCAGCACTGCCGGCAGCTGGGGGTTAGTGTGCGAGCGAGCAGAGTGAGGCCTGCTCACTGGTAGAACTTCTTGCTAGAGCTGTTAGCGTGGTCAAGCAGCAGCTGGCATGGGGTGAACTGTTTTCCATAGGCAGCCTCGTACTTCCTGAGCCGGTCCACTATCTTCTGAGCACCATACAGATCCACGAAGCGGAAGGGTCCTGAGGGGGAAACAGGACTTTGTTGAAGGAGACAGCAACACGAGCTCTAGGATAAAGTGAGCTACCTTCCCAACCTCCATGACCAACCTCCAAGACAGGGAGGGAAGCCGAGTCCAAAGACGGCTCCGATGTCTCCCTCTGCAGGTGTGGCCAAGATCCCTTCCTGTAGGCACATGGCAGCCTCATTCACGAACCTTGTCACCAGGCGGTACTGGATGTCTTCGTCAGAGGAGCTGCCAACAGGGAGGGATATTTAGGTAGAGGAAGAATAGGAGGGGAGGTTTCAGGAGCCATACTGAATAAGGGCCTGCCTCCAACTCTAGAGAAGGTGCTGCCAGGAGGCCAGCCTTTCCCTTGGAAAAAGACTGTGCAGAGCTACTTCCCTAATTAACCAGAAACCGCGCCTAGAATAGGGTCTGCGGCAGCAGTCAATTACAAATGCTAATAAAGGGTGTGGAGTGGGAAGGGGCCTGGGATAACCATCTTTCTAGTTGCTTTCTGGGACCTTCAGAGGGAAGGTTGGAGCAGGGGTCTTCCTGAGGCTCAGCTGCAGTTCTCCTGATGCTGGCAGAGTGAGATGGCGCGCAGAAGGGCAAAAGTATAAAGCACTGTGCCAGTATCGGGTGTTGGTCAGGTACAGTGATCAGGGCAAAGATGGCAGAGGGGCTGAGAAGCTTTGGGCTGATGAGAAATGTTTCCACACCACAAGCCACTCAAATTGACTTACACATCAGCCTTAGGAGCCACCTGCAGACCGGCCAAAATACTATCCATGTCAGAATTCAAATTCTTACTCTTCACGCCCTCCTGGTAGATGTAAAAGCCCTTCCCAGACTTGCGACCTAAAAGAAGCAGGACAAGGTTGAGTTAAAAATTCTCAGAGCCCGGGCCTGAGAAGTCTCTTCCCTGCTAGTCTGCAGTAAAGCTCCTGCCTCTCTTCTGTGTTCCTGAGTTTGTACGTCTGGCTAATCCTAGAAATCTAGTGTTAGAAGAGCTCACAGAGGACAAAAAATCTCATGTTTTCTTAGAAATCTCTGTATCTGGATGGGAAAGGCCAGCTGAGTGAGTTACTGTCCAGATGTGCAACACCAGGCCCTGGGATGCCCAGGTCCTAGTACTGATTTTGCTGCTACTTTGCCAAGAGAAAGCCACCTCTCTGGGGAGCCTTGACTATATACTCTGTATGTAGAAGTTTTCCTCTTTCCACACAGGTGGCCAGACAACATGGCAAAACTAGACGCAAGCTTGCTAATGCAGGATCACCGATGTACTAGAGGCCTTGGGCAGGATGAAAATGCCTGTCGATCGAGCATAACTTGGGCCAGGTAGTGGCAGAGCTTCAGAAGGCCAGAGTTTTACCTTTTGTCCATAATATTACAGGCCCAGACTAAGGAGAGGTTGTCATGAAATAATTTTTGAAATTCCCTGTGAAATCAGGAACACACATGGTCCTTCTGTAACTGCTCAGAACTTTGTGAGTGTGGTGCTAGTTATGTTTCTCTGAGGCTACTCACCCAGGAAGCCCTTGGACACCATCTGCTTCAGCAGTTCTAGGCTTCCACCTGCAAACCTCTCCCCAAAGGCTTTGCCTAGGTCTTCTGCTACGTGTTTTGCTACATCCACACCAACTTCATCCACCAGTGTCGCAGCACCCACAGGGAAGCCAAAGCCTGTGGTCAGGGAATCCAGCTTCTTGGGGTCAACTCCTTCCTGAATGGGAAGTAAAGCAGGGGCCTCAGGGGAAGGCCATTCCTGATTCACCCACTCCCCCAAATGCTCCCTGTGTTGCCTTCAGAAACAGCCTTGAGCAACACCCACTTCTCTCCTGGGTGCCACCTGGCCAGGCCCAGGACTGGGACTGTTTCACTGAGGGAAACACAGAGGTTTGGGAGTCACAAGGGCAAGGTGACAAGAGCCTTCCCTAACATAGAGCACTTTAAGGAAGTCTAGAGATGAACAGAGTATTCATTTCCTTCTTGTCTGCAATTCTGAACCTCAGTAACAACAAGATTCCATGTAGATAGGGCTGGTTTCCAGGACTGAGCGCACTGCCAAGGAGCAGTGCTGTAGGGTCCCATGATCCCATGTCTAAGTGCCCTGCGAATGACCTGAAAGGCCCCTGGGGGGGTCTGCTTGCGCAGCAGATGTAGCACTAATCAGACCATGTGGGCCCTGTTCTAAATGGTCTCTGCCCCAAAGGGGATGCAGAAACAGCACAGAAGAGCATGCTGGGAGGCCTTTGGCCTAATGGAGCAGGGAGAAAGCTAAGGGAGCAGAGCTGAAATTCTGCTCCCATGACTTCCCACCACTGTGCAGAAAGTGAAGCCACAAAAAGGCCTTCTTGGGGGAGTCAGGAGTTAGTGTATTAGAAGGAGGCTTGTTGCTCATCTTGACATTAGCAGTTAGGGGGCTGGTTTAGGAGTGGAAGATGCCTCAGACATCCTGAGCAATACCGACCTGGAGAATTCTGATGACCTCAGACATCATGGGTGCAAGACACCTCGTGGTATAGAAGCCAGGTCCGTCCTGCCAAGGGAGAGAACATGAGCTTGGGGCCCCTCTGCTGCGGGTACTGCCTAAGTCTGAAAGCAGCCTCCTTTCCCCAGCTATCATTTCAAAGTTCAAAGTGATTATAACCTTAATCAGGATCCTTAAAATGAAACTGCAAGGGAAACCATAGCCAGGGGCAGCACGGCTGGACTCCAGGAGCACAGCATGTGGTTGCATGGTCACCTGAAAGGTCTCGAAAGGCTAGGGAACCTGCCACGTCCCAGACTCTCTTCACTTCAACCCTGACTCAGTGGTACAGTCAACACCACTATCCATAATGTAGACAACCAAGGGGAAATCCGATCAAAAGTTGGTACATTTGCCCCAGACGAGTTATAAACAAGCCCGGAGGT